AGAAGCTGGAAAGTCCTTGACTAGTGTAAGCACTGCTCAGCAAGAACCAAAACATCAGTGTGTTATCAACATTATTCTCATCCTAAATCCAAAACGCAGCACTATACCAGCTACTAAGAAGAAAATTAACTCTATCCCAGCTGAAACCAGGACATAAAGAAAATGAATTTTTACTATCATGCTACATTCCTTCAGGGGGAATGTGGTATTTCCTGTCAAATGGTGGTATCACAGTCAACAACAAAGATCCCCAATATATCTGACTCTTAAAGTGTGCTGCTTGAAATCAAATTAGTGCTCACATGTCTGGCCTGATTGCTTCATTAATTCATCACAGAATTTACATGGTCATCCCAGAATTAAAATTAATCTTAGATTGCTATTAGAATCTACGGTACTGTTGTCTTTAATAGCTGGGTGTAAGAGACTGAAACAAAAAGGAGATATTCTGAGTACATGCTCAGAACTGACTATTCCCACTGTAAGAATGTATGTATCTTCTTTCGGTATTTTCAGGCAATTTCAAGGCCATACAGATGGAGCCAGCTGTATTGACATTTCTAATGATGGCACCAGACTATGGACAGGAGGCTTGGTCAATACAGTCAGATCCTGGGACCTCAGAGAAGGGAGACAGCTACAACAACATGACTTTACATCGCAGGTTCAGTCTCAGAAGCTTTGACATGTTAAGAAAAAAATCTGTTGAGGTTTTATAAAACAAGCACTTAAAAAAGAAAAAAAGGAGAAAAAAAAAGAAAAGAAAAAAGAAGAGAAAAAAGAAAAGAAAAAGTAGATTCAAAGAGAATTCCAAAAGAATTTTTCACTTTTTTTTTTTTTTTTTTTAATATGCTAGCTAAATATCTTTCTGGATTATGACTCTGTTTGATAGATTAGTACTTCTCCCATGAGAGCAATGGAGAATTTTTTTTATAAAAGAATTCCTAGATTAGAGTGTTCCTGTGCACAATCTGTTACCATTTCTGTAGATCCTTGTTCAAAAATAATTTACAAACATATTTTTAAATGCTGTCATATAAGCTAGGACATTAACTTTTATAGCTTTATTCAGTGCTTTATTATTGCAGTTTTAATTGAACTTTGTTTACATGAACTAATTTATCTTGATTACTATAGTAATTGGATTAGCATGTTTTTAAAACTGCGTAGCAGACCAAAATTTGGTTTTGCATAGTGTTAACAGTGTAGCAGGAGTCGATTTTGAATATCTCAAGCTCATTTAAGCTGATTGAAGCATGTGCTGTGCTACTTCCAGATCTTTTCATTGGGCTATTGTCCAACTGGTGAATGGTTGGCAGTGGAAATGGAGAACAGTAACGTTGAGGTACTGAATGTTACTAAACCAGACAAGTATCAGCTGCATCTTCATGAGAGCTGTGTGTTGTCACTCAAATTCACTCACTGTGGTAAGCAAAGCTTTCTCTGCCAGTATTTTTCCTCCTGAGAAATTTATTCAAGATCACCTTTGAATTAAAATAGGGATATTTAAAAATTAGATGTTAAGTTTAAATATTAAAATTTATTAAAATGTTTCTGTGTGACTGCTTTTTTTTATACAAACTGATTATGTTGTGATCAAACATCTTAGTGTAACAAGAGTAAAATGTGACTGTTCTTTGCATATGTTTTTCACTGATGTATGAATGAATTGTTTTTATGACTAATCTGTTTCTTGGGGTGCGTTTCTTGAAAACAAACCACAACTATAACATCTAAATGATCTTTTGCAGGCAAATGGTTTGTAAGCACTGGAAAAGATAATCTTCTTAATGCCTGGAGAACACCTTATGGAGCCAGTATATTCCAGGTAATAATCTCCTAAAAGCGGTTTTCCACATTACGGAGCAGTAGAGTTGCACTTCTTAGGGTCTGCCATTAGCTTAAGGGATTTTAAAATGGAAACTCTTGTCTTCTTAATATGTTCCTTTAAGACTTGTAATTAAAGAGGTGTACACTTCTGTCCTTTCTAACATTTTAGTAATTTAGGTCTTTCAATAAAGTAACCCTTTAATCTGAAATTGTTTTTAATACTCTTCTTTCTGAAACTTTCTTGCCTTTTTGTGAGTATTGCTGCAATAACAGAACACAAGTCACACGGTTAGCTTAGCAATCACTGAAGGTCCAAAATGTATCTAAAATAATGAAAGCCATATTCAACACATGTATTTTTCTTGGATGAGATGAATAAGGGCTAAGGAGTGCTTTCTCAGAGCTTGCATGTGTATAGTATGTAGATAAATAATGTTAAGGTGTCATATCTTGTATTAACACTGAAAAGTCAGTGGATTAAACAGGCAGACTCCTGAGCTGAAGACTTGATCCTTATATAGGAGTCCTGTGGACTGAAACTGGAAGTCATAACCTTTCTGTAGTATTTAATAACCTCCGTGCCCAATTTTAATGGAACTTCAGTGCCATTGAAGAGTGGAATTTTTGGTGTATCCCTCTCTTCTTTGACCTATAGGTACTTCTGTGCTGGGAATTTTTTTAATTAAGTTAATCCTGGTGTTCTGGGTTAAATAGTCAGGTCTCAGCTATATTGATACCTGCAATGTCTCTGCCTTTTGGGACAGTGCTGTTTGCCTTGGCATGAGAAATCTGAAGTCTGAGTTTTCTTAGTGGAGAGTACTCAACTCTGGAACAACTTCCCACAGAAAGCCCGAATAATCCTTCCAAAAACACATCTCCCTTAAAACTGACGTTCTTCCCCAGTATAGCTTTCTTAATGAGGGGTAGAGAAAGAAACTTTTGTACCATGCAGTAGAGGTTTCTTTGCAAAAACTTAGCATTACTTATCATGTCATTTGCAGTGACAGGCAGAAAAGACAATTTAGACATATATGTTATATAGAGAAAACATATACTAAAACAGGAAGTAAAATGTGTCAATGTGCATACATAGACATTATCTCAGAAAAGATCCATCTGCATGTTGATAGAAAAGCTGGGAGAAACAAAGGTACTATATCCTGTTGTGTCCTGTCTTCCATTCACCTGCTGTACACTGTTGCTTATGCCAAGTCCACCATAGTATCTTTTCATATGTGCATCCTCCCTGGTAATGTAAATTGTTTTGTGCAAGGGCTTTGTCTTCTGTGTTGGGGAAATACTGAGAAGAGATAAAGTTACTTCTGTGGACTCTCTTTCATATATATGCGTCGGTTGGGCTTTGTAGTGCTTTTTCATAAGGATTTCTGGCTTAAAACAAAAAAGGGAGGGAAGAGAAAGACATCAGCTTTTGATTCCTTTTTTTGCAAGAACTAACTTATAAAATTTGAATACTCGTTATTTGTAAAATGTATAGAAGGGTCTGCTTGCTTTTGTTTGTTTGATAGATTTCTAGTTCCGTAGCATTAAATAAAACGTTCACTGCCCTTTTTTGTTGCCATAAAGCTTTAGGTGAGACAAATTTGGAGAAATAGTCTTGTAACAAAAGCTGCCATCCTTTCACTTCCACTCTGAATCTTCAATGCAGATATTTAAATGAGCCTTCCCATGCATTCCCTCTGTAAACTTTTCTGGTTAATCTTCAAGTCTTTTTATGGATTGAAAAGAATTTTTTTTTTTTTCTTGTAGTCCAAAGAATCCTCATCTATGCTTAGCTGCGATATCTCCGTGGATGACAAATAAATTGTCACTGGCTCTGGGGACAAGAAGGCTACAGTCTATGAAGTTATTTATTAGAGACAAATCTGAATGCAGACAGGACTCCTCGTAGCACTTTGCTGTATATTCCTTTTTTTCCTTTTCCAAACTGAAAACTTTAATGCTCATCACAGTTGTAGAATTTTTCCCCTCTCTTAACCTTCCATTAAATTGTGAATGCTCATTTAGAACTTGCGATACCAAATCACCAGATATCTACTCGGAATAAGATGGAATAAGCATACTTAACAGTGAACTTGACTCTTTAATTATGTATTATAGCTGTAATGTACTTATTTTGTTTAAAGAAGGCTTTCTAACAGTGAACTGACTAAATAAAGCTGTCTGGCCCAACTTTGGTTTAAAGGTATGTTGTATACTTTGTGGTTTTGCTGGTGGATGAAAGGGACTGGGGAGAAGGATGTTCAGGAGACAGTAAAAGTTGCACTGAATAGACTCATACTTTCTAATTAAAAAATAAACTTATATTTTTTTAGTCCTATTCTTGGATGAAACCTCTAAGCATTATTACCATATAATTACTTGGTGGGAAGATTCTGTAATTCAACTATTTCAGACAATCTTGGAAATTTAGGAAATTGCAACCTGTAGCCAGTGATTTACATGCCTGTGATGAATGGCAAGTTCAGTTCACATCTAAATTAAATACACTTTAAGTAAAAATGTGCTCATTTATATATTTCCAATGTCAATATAGCATCTTGTGAACAGATTTGTTCTCTTCTGTTGATGAACATAAAGCATTTTCGTGTCAACCTAGTTTTTTAATATAGCATCCCTCTTTGTCATATTGTAGAGAGAAGTACAATAAGAGGCCTCAAAGAATCACCTTTATAACTTCTGGACGCTTTTGCCACATTTCTTTGAAAAGGAAAATATGTTTCTGGTGGCAATTTTTCAGTTACAAGGGACTATGAAAATATTTAATATATTCCTTGGAAACATGGCTTTAAGACATTAGGTGTGAAGTCCAATCTACATTCCTTTCAAAACAAACAAACATGAATGCTCTTGTGATTTTAACTATGGCATGGGTAGCCAAGATTTTTCATCTTACAAAGAATAGTGAAGTTGAAAGAATGAAGCCTTTCTCCCCTCCAATACGTGAAGCAATACTGTACAAAAAATTGTACAGTCATTTTGCAGTGTGACCTCCTAAGTGTGGACAGCAATGTTAATATTTCAATGAAAATATTTTTTTCCGAAGCATCATTAACACCATCCTCCCATTTCCCTATGCACACTTCTTTGTTGATTTAAGGTTCCCACCTTCATTGTAAACTAGTTTATTTATTTCATTCAGACCTTTAACAAATAATCAGAATAGCTTCTCTATATCATACCATTTTAAAGATATTTTTTTTTCTGCAACATTGCTGCTATTTTCCCACTCCTTCCTCCCCCATTGAGTTCCTGAAGTTGGTATTCAGCCCTCAAGAGGGATGCTTTAGCTTGTGGCTTGACCTTGATCTTACAGGTTGCTCAACAAATGGTAGTGGAAAGTGTTCACAGGATCTGGCTGGCTGTAATAACTGCTGTGACAGCTGTTACAAACTCATTTATGCCTCCTTCCTATGAGCAGTCTTAAATAAAAACATGTGAGAAGAGCAGTCCTCTTGTCTAGCTGACCCTTCTGCTTTCTCAAGTTTCACAGGTGCTCATCAGCTGGAAATGACAGGGGAGGAAAAGGAGTTGGGAGTCCTAGCTGAACTCAGCATGCCAATGTGATACAGCCATGAAAAAGACAAATGTGCTCTAGGACGTGTCAGGAGAAGCATTTGCAGCAGAGATGGCGAAGTATTGCTGCCATTATAGAAGACGCTGGTGAGACCTCGTTTGGAATAGCGAGTACAAATCTGGTCACTTGTGTTCATGAAAACTTAATTGAAAATGGGACTGGTGGGGAGAAGGGCCTACCAGACAGACTGGAAAATCAAGGGGATGGAAAGCATGTCATCTAAGAAGAGCTTACTTGCTTTTAATCTAGCAAAGTGAAGACCGAGAACAGATATGAATGTTGTATTAAAATGCTTCAAATGTCTAATCAGCAAGGGTGAAAAGGTATTTAAACTGAAAGATAATGCTGGCACAAAAATAAGTGAGGAAAAAAGTATGGCCTGGAATTAGAAGAGGCTCCTGTTAGAGCACGGAGGTTTTAGAGCAGCTTTCCAATCCAAATACAGGGGAGAAAAAAGCAAACTGCTTTTAAGGTGGAGCATGACACATTTATAAAGGGGTGTATAGACAGTAGGGTACTGGAGTCCATAGCCTCAGAGGTCTCTTTCAGTCCTTCCTATGTGTTTGACCTGCATAATTAAAGTGTGTGTACTGGAATGAAGGAATGTTTATTTTCAAAAAAAAGTTTGGTGTGAGGGTAGGAGAGGGTAGGTGAAAAGGATGGTAGAAAAGGGCTGTCAAACAGAAAACAATCATTTGGAGTGTTCCTCTGCAGCTGAAAAATGAGTGCTTCTCCCTAGGTCTATTCATTATGATACTGCTTATCAAAAAACAATAATTAAGAAGAAAACTACATTATTCAAGTGTGGGAATAAGTGAGATTGTGTTTTACTTTGACGAGATGCAGCTGTGCCCTTGAGGCTT